ACTTTAAATTCACTACTGGAATCACCACGTCTCTGTCGTTCTCCATTTTTTACTGAATTGGGTAAATAGGTATCAAAGACTAGGTACTGTAATTCTTTTAGCAGCAAAGACTTCTACCAAATCATTATGCGTATGCGGGACGCGGAGAGATGTCTGCTCGTTAGAAAGCACAATAATTAAAAGCGGCTACAGAAACTTTCAAGTTTGCGTATTTATTGCTCAAAAACTGTTATAATAGCGATTCTTGCTTTAAAAACTTTCTTGAAGCTTTAGCTTTATTTGGTACGCAGATAGTTTAGTGAAATTTTGAAAAATAAAAAAGTTTCTCGATTACTGAAAATAGTGCTGCAAAAAGTAAAGATTAAAGTTTTGTCTAGTTTTACAAAAAAACTAGGTTTTCTATACTAATGAAACTAACGCAGTAATCTCCGCTTACGTTTCTTCTGCCGAATAAAAAAAAGTTGAAAATATCTTGTTTAGTTCTGGAGATACATCGAGGTATGTGTCAAAAAGTAATAAAACATAATTTTGACAGATTTTTGACAAATTTCGCAATAAAAAATGTTGTCCTTATTAAAAAGTGTTTTAATTGCCGATTTCAGATGGCCAGGGACCTAGACTATTATTTTGTGAAGACCACATGTGGTTGTACCTGAAAAAAAAATTGAAACCTTTTTGCTCCTTTTTCAGTCCACTAAATCTAAATATACCTAACCTACATTTTCTGTTCCTTCACCTAGTTTTATTTATTAGTTCTACACCTCTGATTGAAAAGCGGAGCTTCATGTTCATAAGTACTGTTTATTATAGTTAATTTAAAACAATATTAATAAATCTATTTTTAATCAAATAATTTGTATTAAATCCTTTTTAAAGTACCTATAATTTGTTTCGGATTAGTACATTTAAAGGAATTGGTGGAAATTATTTATTTGTTTGTTTAAGAATCAATGTTTGTGGTTTGTGTATTTTAAATAATAAGTATATTTTTCAAGGTTTTTTGTTTACTCTAATAATATTTCAGAAACGTTCCTACATTTCATAATATTTGTAAAAAAATCTAGAATACATTTCTAAAATATTACTATTTAATATTTCTAAAAGATTTAAAATTTTAATTTCAGAAACATTACTGTGAAATATTATATTTACAGGACAATTTAATGTTATAATGTTTCAATATAATATTTATGAAATATTTTCGAAGTGTGTTTGTGCTGTATGGGAAAGTAACTTTATTTTTTAAAATGCAGATTAAAAGTTATATTTAAATATACAATTACAGTCATTTAGCATGAAAATTTAGAATAGGTGATTATTTACGTTTTACATTATAAATTAATTGTAGTTATAAATTAAATGATCACCAAACCTGACTTTTAATGCTAAATAGCTGTAATTGCTTATTTAAATATAACTTTTAATTCAAAATAACTTTACTTTATAACATTCTTCTGTATTGTAAAAAATAAAGGTACCTACTTTACTCTTGAGAAAAATTCATATTTTTTTTTGACGAACCTCTTATACAGCTTAAAAAAATTGATATCTCATTCGTTTGAAAAAAAATAAATAAATTTATGTTAAACATATCAAAATCATATTCGGTACGAAATTTTACTTAATTATTGGTCATAACCTAGCCGGGAACTTAAAAACTTGAAAATAATTTCCATCAATTTTTCTTAACCACTTGTACGTTGGTAATTGTTTTCCACAATTTTACGGTGCATAGTTTCTAATTTATCTGGCGTCCTTTCTAATTTGGACACCCGGTACTTTTAGGAAACGATAAATATTTGCTAAAATATTAATTAGAATAAAAAATGGATCTAGGACCTGCAACACAAAACCTACAATTGTAACAAGTGTACTACTTGTTAAACATTTACTTGTAGTAGCTACAGTTCCTATTAATTCCTAATTCCTAATAACGGAGAATATTTATAAAAGTGTAATTAAAATATACAAAACTAATTTATACAATATAACTTGGAGGGATGTTATAAAAAATTAATTTTAGTGCTGTTCAAAATGTCTTCAAGACAAGTGATATTTGACCGAACAATGCAATGGCTCATGAAAATTAAACAAAAATCAAGAGGTTCTACTTAAAAAGGTAACAAGATAAAAAGTGGATAAATTTGGCTACTCTTAAGGTACCATTTCGGTAGCCGCGTCAAGAGACAGGAGACCACTGAGGAGACCAGTAGGACGACAGATGCATAAATCATGGAGGAAGGATAATTAAGAGTTGACGTTTCTTTGAAGAAATATGGCAACAGGTTTGCTTGCAGCGCCACCGGTAAGAGATTTGTCCAACTATTTCTCAGTCGGTAATATAGATACCTGCATATTTTATTTTATTTAAAAATTAGCGGGATTTTGTTTGTAGCTCTACTTTAATTAGTATAACTAAAATTTTGCATTTTTATGGGCATTTTTTACAACACAGACAAGGTGCAAGATGTAACAAAATGCCAATCAAAATGTAAAATTTTATGACCCATAATTTTAGGAAGGGTAAAATAATTTAATATAAAATAATTGTATTATCTATTATATCATTAAAACTAATTTATAATAAATTTTCTAAATAAACAATATTTTAATAAAACAACTAAAAGTTTCTGTAAACTTGGGTAGGTAACAAAACACATTAAGGAGAGCCATCCATATAATCTGAAACAGAAAAAATTCAAAGTAGTATTTTAACTTCATATCATTTTGAATCTCTTTTTTCTTTTAGACATTGTCACAGTTTTATACTTTCATTATAATATTTTATAATTAATAATCGTAGTCCCTTCATCTTTTAATTAGATGTAGTACTTTTAAAAAAACAGATGTCTGCTGGATCAAGCTTTGAGGTCCTTCTTTAATTCGCAAATTTTACTTTGCTATTTTCTAATTATAAAATAGAGTTTTTTCTCCCTTGGAGCTAACCATTCACTGGATTGATTTAAAAATCCAAGAGCTAATTATTGTTTTTTAGGTAATAATTATATTTCATTGGATGAAATTTTAATCGAATGTATCTTTCTTTTTACTGGTAATTTGTTTGACGGTATGATAACAATATTACTTTAGTATTACTCTTTACTGTTCATTTAGCTTTCAAGGGTACCAAAGGTAAAGCCAATTTACAGTCTTGTAACCTATAAATGGTTTTTTGCAAGTGGAATGATGAAGTTTATGCGGCATCATTTAGTTCCTTGCTTAATATCGGAAGGAAATAAAAAAAATGTGTTCTTAAAATGTACAGTATAAATTGGACAGTAAATTGTACTATTTACCTTTATACAAACAACGCTATTACAATTAGATATTATGAATTTATTACGAACAGCACCTGCTAAATACATGTTAAAACATCAAAATATCTTTGCTTAATTTTAAATTTAACATGTTTAACTAAAACTAAAATTAAATAAAAGTAAAAGTACTTACCACGTTTTATTCAGCAACCATAACCATATTGTTTTGTTCAGTTTTGTTATTGTATCGGTTCGAACGGGTGACAATCCCAAAGTCAGATTTACATTGTACAAATAATTGACTAGTTCATGTTTTTCAAATAATTGTATTATTTATATAAATATATAATTTTAAAACAATACTTACCGTGTATTACTTTTGTTATTAAGTGAAATATATTTGAATTATTCAATTATTCAGTGTACTTTAAATTTAAATATCATTTTATTATTGTAAAACGGACTGATATGCGCGGATGTGTTGCGCACTAATCTGTTGATATAACGCGCATTAGTTATAAGCCCCCCTGTGCATAAATGTTACGCTCCTTACATTTCGGAAGCTTAAAGAAGTGTCGCGCGACACTTGCAAATAACCATTCAAGGGAACGATCAGCGTTGCCAGACCTACTGTTTTTACGTAGATCCAGTGTTTTTGTCTCTAGTAAATTTTGTTCTTAATTTATTAGGTTTGCCTCATTCTTCAGCAAATGGTTAAATAATATTTTCTCTAGTAAATTTTCTGCAATAAAAGCAGCATAATAAGCAGCCACTACTGTAGGTTGGCTCCATAAAAAACATCAAGATAATCATTGTTTTTATTTAAAATGAAACAAAGAATTAATAGGGCATCATAAAAAGAATATGCATATGCCAAACACTACGATTTTGAATTATCTGATTCAGACTGATCTAAAATAAGTAGGTACTTATTACTTTTCATTGGTTTTTTCCCGTACGTTAAGTATATAATAAAAATATTTTTATTCGTTTTTATTCTTTGTTTACTTTCTAATTTGGGTAGAAAAAATGTTATTTTTCGTTTCTTATATACTTGTTTCTTTATTTACTACACTGCAAATTATAATTATTTCCCCCTGTATTAAAATCTACTGTTCAGATCCACGGTTTTTTCTTTACCCATACTGTTCCAAAATCTGGCAACGCTGCCTAGATCGAAAGAAATTTCCATCCTAATCACCCTCAAAATGAACCGATGCTCGAGAACAGTGACCCCGAGTGCGGCACGCAGCAAACCTTTGCCACGAGGCAGATTCAGAAGTATCTCCAGGAAGTGTCGTCTTGACGACACTTCTCGTGTCGCGCCGTGCGAAATGTGTTTTATATAATTGTATGTATTTTAGATGTGAAGCGATACTTCTCGGTCGCGTCGGCGGTCGTCTGTCGCGCCTACCGAAATGGTACCTTTACTCATAACATATGATTATTGTCAGTAGATAAAACCTGGATATATGCAAGAGATGTATTTTAGAAAAATCTAAACAGAAGTCCAGTGTTGTTTCATGTTTTTATCAGTGCCGGTTTAAGGTGATTTTGCGCCCGGTTTTCACCCATTTTAGAGTAGAAAATGTAAGCTCCCCACTGGCATTCGTTACCATTATAGAAAAAAAAATTCAGAGGCATAGATACATTTAAGTTTGGGAATGGACGTAAGTTTATTTTTATGTAACAATTTTACTAAATCATCCGAAGATTCAACTTTAATTTCATCGCTTAGTTCATTTAGGAATTTTTTGAAAATTCTTGAGGAAAACGCTCGTCTAAGTCTTCCATATATGTCTCTTTTAATTTTTGTGCATTTAATAATATAGCTTTGTCACTTAATTTTTTTAAATTAAACAAAAATTCTAAAAGAGCTGAACCTGTTTTGTACGCTTCGGATCTATGAATAATTTCTGTTTGAAGATTGTCAAGGATTGGAAGGTAAATCTGCGATCTTATTTTCTTTCTAGGATCCAAAATAACTTCTGTATTTGGTTCCCCAAAATGCCTTTTTCTTTCAGTGCTTCGCCGTTCTATGTATTTTTCGTTGCCAGCTATTCCTTTAGCTTCATATTGATCAAACTCGTTTCTTAAATATTGAAAGTATTGGGCCAATGAAGATAAAAGGTTAGATGTGGTACTTAGATCCATATTGTCTTGTTGTAAAGCCTTATTTATATCATTAGTTCGGTGTAAAATATCCAACCAAAATGTTAAAAGAATGCCATTTTCCAGAAGATCTAATTTCTCGGCAAAAGAAGCCGCTTCAACTCTTACAACACTTTTTTCTTCTATATTTTGAGATATATGCTCTAAACATCTTTTTATTGATGCGTAACTGTGTCCTAGGACTTTAATGGTAAAAGGTTTTCGTTTTCTGAAACTTTTATAAACTGAGATAACAAGTTCCATTTGTATGAAGATGCCGTAAAAAACGTGTAAATACTTTGTACAATCATAAAGAACGCCGTAGATTCCAAACAGCAGTCTGCTGCATTTTGCACAACTAAATTTAGCGAATGTGCGGCACGAGGTATATAAACTGCTGAATTGTTACGAGCCTGTAACCCAGAGTACTTTCCGCTCATGTTGCTTGCATTATCGTATGACTGGCCCCTACAGTCTTTTAAAGGTATTTAAATTGATTTCAAAATATTCAGGACGGTATCTTCGAGTTCTTTCGCACCATGTCTAACGTTTTCTTGAAACCCCACAAACCGCTCAAGTGGTAATCCATTACTATCATAAAATCGCAATAAAATTGTATGCTGGTCATGGTGGGTTATATCTGGCGTAGAATCCACTCTTGCTGAATAATACTTATTAACTTTAATTTGTTTCACTATTTCCTTTAAAACTTCATTAGATAAAATCCCTATAAACTCATCTCAAATATCTTTTGATAAATAAGAAATAGTGCCATTTTCACGATTTACAAGTTTTCTTATATGATCTTTTAAAAAAAGATCATATTCAGACAAAAGTTCAATCACACCCAAATATTTGCTGTTATGATCTTTGTCTATCTTTTAATTACTACCTCCAAATGCTAACTCTCGTGTTGCTAAAAATTTTATAACGATAACAATTCTTTTTAATACTTTGACAAGGGGGGTAGCCATGTGTGAGTTGAGGTAATTTTAAGGTGAAGGGGGAGAAAAAGTCCTTTATATCTCACAAGGAAAGTCAATGTTTAATTATTTAACAAAACATTGAGTGCGACCGGTTTCGAAGTGTCATCACTTCATCTTCAGGCTCGCCTAGTGGAAAGGAGAATATGTGGTGTAAGGTGTGTTAACTTGGAGCAAACGATATATAAAATAGTAAAAAAGAGAAAACTCACCATACTCTCCATCCACTAGGGAATAATACAAAACAAGTTTCATCAAATGTGGGGTGAAATAAATTGTAAAATGAACAAAGTTTACAAGTAATAAAAAGTTAAAAATATTTGAAAAAACAAATATTAGTCAATTGAAATAGTAAAAATTTAAAATATTCAAGACCATACAAAACAAATCACATACATTAAACAGATTAAAAGATAAGGCTTATTTTAAACAACCTTGTTGTTTTTTCAAAAAACTAACATTTTTGAAAGGAGACCTGTCAAGTTAAGGCCTCTACAGGTGGTGGCAAGTATTAACAAAAAAATTCTTGGGTAAACCCATGACAGGGTATAGGTAATAAGATGTAAACCATGAGTGAAGAAATATTTATTATTTATTATATAAGATTTGGGCCATGAACCAATCACCAAGTGTATGTGATGTTGTAGGAAGAAGAAAGAAGAAGAAATGACTGGGTTAACTGTTGTGAAGCAACTGAAGATTAAAAGAAAAAAAGAAAATGACGGATGTGAATATCACACAATCTAACCTAATCTTTAAACATGCTCGTTGGTTTCTTGTGGGAAAAAAATTACTTACTGAAATGTACCCCTTGCAAGAAAATATGTGAATAGAAATAAAGGGGGAGGTTAAAAAGGAAGTTAGAACGATAAATTTAGATTAGTGTTGAGAAAACAGGAGGAGTTTCTGACATTATCTGGGCATTTAAGCAACCAACAGGATTTAATTTAAAATTTCTCAATATCTCGAGGCTTTCGAAGCTACTAAGAGTAAATCTATGGTAGGAACTATGTAGGATTTCGAAACCTTCAGTTGAATCGAAGTCGTGATTTGAGTCCAGTAGGTGGTTGGCAAAATGTGAAAAACCTGTTGTATTTTGGTTAAGACAACGCAAATGTTCTTTTAAACGGATCTTGAAATTTCGAAATGTGCGTCCCACATAGAAAGAATGGCAAGATTTACAAGTTAATTTATAAATTCCAGATAAGACAAAGGGATCTAATTTATCTTTATTATGAACAAATAACTTATGTAATGAGGAGGGGGTTTTGAAAGATACTTTAAAGTGGTCTTTAAGTAAGCTTGCCACTTTATAGGATGCTTTTCCAATAAAGGTAAGAGAAATGTATTTCTTACTGGTGGTTAGTTCATGTACCATATTAGGATTGTTAATATAAACTAAGTTTTGTTGAATTTTATTTTGTTTATGTTTTAGCATTTTATCAATAATATCTAGTTCAAAGTTGTGATCTATAGCAATAGTTTTAATTATATTTAGTTCCTTATTAAAGTTTTCCGTAGACAGAGGAACGTTTAATAGCCTCTCTAAGTAGCAATTAAAGGCAGCCAATTTATGTGTTGCTGGATGGTTAGAGGTATTGTCTATAACTGTGCCTGTATGTGTTGGCTTTATATAGATGTCAAAGTTGAACTTGTTATTATTGTGTGAGATTTTAAGATCTAAGAAGTTAATAGATTTGTTTATTTCAATTTCTAATGTGAATTTAATATTAGAATGTAAGTTGCTTCACAACAGTTAACCCAGTCATTTCTTCTTCTTTCTTCTTCCTACAACATCACATACACTTGGTGATTGGTTCATGGCCCAAATCTTATATAATAAATAATAAATATTTCTTCACTCATGGTTTACATCTTATTACCTATACCCTGTCATGGGTTTACCCAAGAATTTTTTTGTTAATACTTGCCACCACCTGTAGAGGCCTTAACTTGACAGGTCTCCTTTCAAAAATGTTAGTTTTTTGAAAAAACAACAAGGTTGTTTAAAATAAGCCTTATCTTTTAATCTGTTTAATGTATGTGATTTGTTTTGTATGGTCTTGAATATTTTAAATTTTTACTATTTCAATTGACTAATATTTGTTTTTTCAAATATTTTTAACTTTTTATTACTTGTAAACTTTGTTCATTTTACAATTTATTTCACCCCACATTTGATGAAACTTGTTTTGTAGTATTCCCTAGTGGATGGAGAGTTTTCTCTTTTTTACTATTTTATATATCGTTTGCTCCAAGTTAACACACCTTACACCACATATTCTCCTTTCCACTAGGCGAGCCTGAAGATGAAGTGATGACACTTCGAAACCGGTCGCACTCAATGTTTTGTTAAATAATTAAACATTGACTTTCCTTGTGAGATATAAAGGACTTTTTCTCCCCTTCACCTTAAAATCTTTTTAATACATTAACCCATTACTCCTTTGCAACGTTACATTCTTTTTCAAGTTTATTATCAATTCTTTTCGAAAACGGGGGTACAAAAATGTTTTTTATTTCTGTAGCAAATACTTGCCATTTTTTTTTAATTTTCCGACTCCTTGACTCCACTAATATAGAATAGAAATAACGTAGAGTACCGAGTACCTATAACCCAAAATTAAAAATAATATTTAATAATCATATTTTGACTTACCTAATTTAAATCCACATTACTCTCAACTCTCAATCATTAACTAAGTCTTATTTTTCGTCCCAATTAAATGAAATCCGAAGAAAAGCGAGAAGAAAACTTATGCACTTACTAATGCTAAATTTAATGTACTTATTATTAATTTACTTACCAAGTGGTTTTTCTTCTATCGTTAGCAGTAAATTGCTTGCGATTTTTTTTTGTCAACCATTATAAAGGTGGATTCATAAACTACGTTCAGTTCGAGTTCAACATAAACAGAGCAGAATGACACGGTAGGTATGTTTTGGATAAGAAATTATAACGGATTCATAATTATTTTATAACCAACACCATCTACAAATATAATTAAAACAAAAATAACACCAAAATATAATTTTATTTTGTGGAATTTGTGGTTATGTCTTGCCAACTCGAACTGCCCCAGATAGCACACGACGTCCATTGGACGTCCATAATTTGTCCAAATAATGTCCTGGATGTCTATGAACTTCATATGGATATTCATTGGACATCCGTTTTCCGTTATCCAATGGATATACCCATTCAGAAGTCCAATGGATGTCCAAGAAATGTCCATGATTGACACTATAAAAATGACTAACTTATAATAAATTAATATAATTCTTCTTGTATAATTTATTTACTACTAGGTTTTAACTAAAATAAATCAAATAATTTTTCTCTCCTCTCGCCTCTGTTGACAAGATAGAAAAGTAAAAGGCCACTCAGGTAAAGTCAAAGAAGAAAAGAAGAAAGAGGTTAAGAAGAAAATACAGCCATTGAATACACAGCCTATATGTAGCATATAGATGTTTATCTGGTAAGAAAATAAGTATAATTATTAATTAAATCATTTAAAAATCTAAAAATTAAAAAGAAAATCGTTTGTTTTAAACTAATTTAACCTATCAATTATGTTTTGAACTTTATGTTTTAGATTTACATTCAAAGAATCCCTTTCTTTTAGACCTTTTGTCAAATGATGTACCTACCTATTTAAGAAAATGGCTTTACTAAGAGCTAACTAATATGCTGCAAATTCGAGATGATGTCAACACAATTATTATTGTAACTAAGAGGTGAGAAAACATTCAAAGCAGAAGAAAAGTTTCTATTTGTACTGCATGAGACGTTAGCAGAAGTAGAAGGCTATTTAGAAGATACAAATATTTTTAAAGAAGCTGTAAGTTTTACTTTTATTAAATAAAATAGAATCGTTTTGTAACGTTTAAGAAATAATGCATTGAAAGTGGTTTCATAAGTTATTTCTCTTTTATGTTCACAAATACATATTTTTATTGCAATTTTAGATTCAGCCGTTACCAAAACCAGGGACAAGGACATGACGAACTTATAAAAAGATGGTTTGTTTCCATAATTTCTAATACCCTTACGAAAGAATTTACATAATATGGAATGAAATTAAAATGGAAATTTAAAGAAACAATGAGCAGTTTTTTGTTTATATGTAAGTATAGGGGTAAAGTACATTAGTCAATGCATATTTTCATTTTAGCTAATAACATTTTATCTAAAAATTTTACATTTTTAACTATCACTTCTGCCTGATCAGGCGTTTATTAAACGATTGATTTAAGAATCAATATTCGTATAAAATGTAA